GCCCCAGATCGAGGGAGATTATCAGTGGTCTTGTATGTCTTCCATTTTCTAATTATTGCTCCCACATTTGATTTGTTTACACCAAGCGGCTTGCCTATTGCAGATTCAGTCTTCCCAGCCTGGTGCAGGTCTACAATTTTGTTTCTGGTGTCCTTCAACAGCTCTTTGGTCTTCACCATAGTGGAGTTTGGAGTGTGACTGTTTGAGGTTGTGGACAGGTGTCTTTTATACTGATAACAAGTTCAAACAGGTGCCATTGATACAGGTAATGAGTGCAGGACAGAGGAGCCTCTTAAAGAAGAAGGTACAGGTCTGTGAGAGCCAGAACTCTTGCTTGTTTGTAGGTGACCAAATACTTATTTTCCACCATAATTTGCAAATAAATTGGTTCCAAATCAGCCGATGTGATTTGTCTGGATTTGTTTTCTCATTTTGTCTCTCATAGTTGAGGTCTACCTATGATGCCAATTACAGGTCTCTCTCATCTTTTTAAGTGGGAGAACTTGCACAATTGGTGGCTGACTAAATACTTTTTTGCCCCACTGTATATGCGTATGTTCCCCAGTAGGGACGCCCGAGCGGCAAATTTCATATGATCCTTCCCGGTGGGCCAAAAAAGAGGGGTGAGAGTCGGATGACCCAGATTTCGAGCAGGGGGCGGAAGGCAAAGAATGCAGCAAAGGTCTCGGATAGATGTGTCCCGCTCACCAAAGTCGTCGCCAGGGGGACCAAAAGGTCTACCCTGTCTTCTCACCCGGAAACAAAAGGGCAGCTTAGCCCAACGCCTCCACGCCACTAACTACCAGGAACACCGCCGTTTGGATGTAGGGCAGGGGTAGATAGCCTGCTCATCATTTACGTATTATCTTGCATTATTTATCTTTTTGTATGAAATTTTTTTGACACTCCTATAGAACCATTTAATTGGATCATGTATGTGTACACATTCTTTTGGTGAAGCACAATGCGTTTGACACAATCATGACTTTCTTTATCATGCCTTAATCATGCATTTCTAATACTAAGTATGTGGAATTTTTGATAATCAATGTTTGTCCCTCTTTATCAAGTTGCAAGGTTGCTAATACTTTGCTTGCGGGCTGGTGTTAGTGGAGAATCGATCGGCTCCACTCTCTAGCCCTTCAAGCATTATCCTTATTGGTTATGCTGATATTTCACGGATATTAGATGAATTAATATAATTGAATCAATATTGCCATTTTGTACCCATCATATAATTGAATCAATATTGCCATTTTGTACCTAATCATGTTTTAAAGCCGTCTATATTCATTATTTCAACCATGCAAGGTGCTGAGGGTCATACCTTGCTCTCAAGACCATGCTAGTGGAGAGCAATTATTTCATTCCACAGCCCTAAGAACAACTATGCAAGGGCCTCTTTATATGCAATTTGGTCAATCGGCATTTTTGAACCCCAATCATGTATGTCCATAAGAATCATGTATGTCTCTGCTAATGGTGAGTTGTTGTGTATGTGGAAAGAGCTTTTTTAGGGACTATCTATTCAATGTTATTAGTGGCTCCAAGCCTTCTCTATTTTCTACTTTTAAGATTTATATGAAATAAACAAATATAATTTTTAAATTTTTTGGTTGGAGTTGTCATTCTTTGGTGCTTTCAAAACCCCACTTTTTTCTTTCCTCAAAAGAACTCTTTTTGCATACTACTTACCAGGGGTGTGGCACCCAATATCCAGATCCAGGTCAAAAACCTTTTTTACTTAATATTTTTAAAAGGAGAGTCAGCGATGGTAGCATGCATTCTCCTTCAGTACAGGTTTTCTTTAACATATATTCTTTTTTTTATTTGCTATGTCCTTGGGCCTCTTATGTTCATTTTTGTTATTTTACTTATCAGCCCCTGTGTGTACAGTAAAGTGTCTGCACTAGATTGTCCCTCAGGAGAAAGGCATCATATGCAGAGGAGACTGAAGACCTTCTCTGTGTTGATCCCACCTTCATAAAATAGGATTATAGAGACCTGTAGATACTGAATTATAAATCCAAGGTCATCTTTAAAGTAAAGTACACATATCCCCTGTAAATATAATGCATGGGCGCGTATTATTGCCTGAGATAGGTCACAGTTTACTCTATACCACTCACTACAACTGGTAGCAAGTGCAGTATGAAGATTCTAGATGTCTTATGAATTTACCTTGTTCTTATTGTTCTTAGCAAGCCATATCCTAAGGCCTGGTCACGGAGTCTTCTCTGAAGTCTTCTCAAATGACAGTGCTAGGCTTTGGGGTGCAGAAAGTGGGAACATTCAGGAAACATGCTGAGATAAAATGCATATAAGGGAGCTGGATTACCTGACAACGGATCTGTATTTCTGTACAGCTAGTCCTGAAATGTAATCAGCCCTGCGACAAAGCACAGCCCTGGCACAGCCTTGGCAGGGTTGGCGACCTGATTTGCCTTCTGCTGCACTTCAGCAACAAATAGAGGGCTTGTACCCCCACCCCCTCCCCCTGGCCTGTGACTGGACAATGAAGGAGAATCAGCAGACCAATGAGCTCTTCTCTGTCACTCTGCTCTCGTTTTCTATCAGAATATCTCTAATTAGCACATGAACACTATCGCATGATCGCTGATGATCGCATACACCTTGCGATCATCAGACGAAACTATTCATCCAAATGATCGCACCGTCATACGATTTTCGTACGGTGGCCCCATCCTGCCCTGATTATTGCAAGGTTGGATCAGCAGAAATTAAAATAAAGCACCTGGACGAATTGTGGTAATCGACCGCACGTATTTTCGTTTGCGCATGAGTAGTGTAAATCGTAGGAATTTTGACGTACAGAAACGCCACCAACCTTGCAAAAATCGTACGATTGCCCAAAGTTTTCTAACCTGCTGGTTAGTCAAAAATCGATCGATTGTACAGTATTTGCAGTTGTATTCTGCCCATCAACCTTACGAATATTGGACGAAAACGCGATCACATACGAAAATCGTCCGATATTCGTAAGGTGTATGTGCAGCTTTACACAACTGATTGGCTTCTTGTGCGGCTTTGTCTTCCCTGTCTGAGTTTTACTATACAGGGATTGAATGAGGCTATTACCGAGTCATATTCATATACTTACTTTAAAAAATACAGAGCTGCATTAATGTGCATCGTTTATATCTTCCTGGAGTTCACCTTTTAGGGCTTGTTCACACCAAGCGCGGAGCAGGTCCAGAGCAGAGCAGGTGCAGACCGGATGAAAACTGCGTCCAATGTATTCCTATGGTATTTTTAGCTCCAGTTCACATCGCAGCGTGCAGGTCCAGAGCAGGTAAAAAAACTGCAGCAGGCCCTATTTTACCTGCTCTGGATATGCAAACGCATCAAAAACGAATGCAAATGCCTGGAACGCACTGAAAGCCCATGTTAAACTAAAAGAAAAAATATATATTTTTAAGCCAAAAACGCGTCAAAAACGCATCTAAAAGACTAGCGTGCGTGTGCAGAAACCTGACCGGATCTGCTCTGCATTTGGTGTGAACAAGGCCTTAAAATACAGCCACAATCATATCAATGTTTAATAAGCCAATGGAAGGGAGCTTCAACACATCAGCCAGTGCAAAGTAAAATTCACATTCAATATTTATAATTCTTTGTCTTTTTGTTTTTATTCAGGATAAAGTAGATGCTGGCCTTCCGACAGCTATAGTGAGTATCTGTTTTCTTTTTTTTCCCTCTAAAATTAACTCTTGACATTCCTGTTGCTATCCCATCTAGTTCCTGTGTATAGAAGATGTTGTAAGCTCTTTAATGTCAATGCTCTCCAGCAATCTGTAAAGAGCAGCTGTGAAAAGACTTGTGTAAAAATCAACTTTACCTTTAGAAGTCTAATGCCAAAGAAGTTCCTAATACAGTTACATTGAGAAAGAGATGCCTGATTTGGCAATCATATTTGTATAATATCTTCGACCAGTGTTTCTTTACCTTTTTTCAATCACAGCACCCTTTACAAGTATTGAATCTTCTGCATTCCTATCCTCTTATTCCACCCAATTGCCTTGTTTGCAGTTTAAGGGTGGCTCCTTGGTTTGCAGGGTCCTATGGAGTCCTGCTACAGCTTACCTTAGTGCTCACTCACAGAATATCTGCTGCTGCCTGCGCTGGACTTACAAAGGCGGACCAGAGGAAGAGCATGATGTCATGGTGCATGTGTGGTGGCACTCAGAATCCTGGGACATGTAGTCCCAATTTGGGTAAACGGGGGACTTTTGTTTACGTTCAGATTGCTCGCTCCTGGACTGGCAGTTCAAGAAAGCTGTACGGAGGAGTCTGAAGCCTGTGCCAGTTACGTAAAGATACTATGGGGGGAATTTATCAAAACTGGAGCAGTTGCCTATGGCAACCAAGCAGCATCTCTCTTCAGTTTGCTTAGTGGAGATTTGAAAATGAGAGATAGAAGCTGATTGGTTGCAATCCAAGTCTGCTCCAGATTTACTCTGCTCCAGTTGTGATAAATTCTCCTCTGTGAAATGTATTCCTATGGTATTTTTAGCTCCAGTTCACATCGCAGCGTGCAGGTCCAGAGCAGGTAAAAAAACTGCAGCAGGCCCTATTTTACCTGCTCTGGATATGCAAACGCATCAAAAACGAATGCAAATGCCTGGAACGCACTGAAAGCCCATGTTAAACTAAAAGAAAAAATATATATTTTTAAGCCAAAAACGCGTCAAAAACGCATCTAAAAGACTAGCGTGCGTGTGCAGAAACCTGACCGGATCTGCTCTGCATTTGGTGTGAACAAGGCCTTAAAATACAGCCACAATCATATCAATGTTTAATAAGCCAATGGAAGGGAGCTTCAACACATCAGCCAGTGCAAAGTAAAATTCACATTCAATATTTATAATTCTTTGTCTTTTTGTTTTTATTCAGGATAAAGTAGATGCTGGCCTTCCGACAGCTATAGTGAGTATCTGTTTTCTTTTTTTTCCCTCTAAAATTAACTCTTGACATTCCTGTTGCTATCCCATCTAGTTCCTGTGTATAGAAGATGTTGTAAGCTCTTTAATGTCAATGCTCTCCAGCAATCTGTAAAGAGCAGCTGTGAAAAGACTTGTGTAAAAATCAACTTTACCTTTAGAAGTCTAATGCCAAAGAAGTTCCTAATACAGTTACATTGAGAAAGAGATGCCTGATTTGGCAATCATATTTGTATAATATCTTCGACCAGTGTTTCTTTACCTTTTTTCAATCACAGCACCCTTTACAAGTATTGAATCTTCTGCATTCCTATCCTCTTATTCCACCCAATTGCCTTGTTTGCAGTTTAAGGGTGGCTCCTTGGTTTGCAGGGTCCTATGGAGTCCTGCTACAGCTTACCTTAGTGCTCACTCACAGAATATCTGCTGCTGCCTGCGCTGGACTTACAAAGGCGGACCAGAGGAAGAGCATGATGTCATGGTGCATGTGTGGTGGCACTCAGAATCCTGGGACATGTAGTCCCAATTTGGGTAAACGGGGGACTTTTGTTTACGTTCAGATTGCTCGCTCCTGGACTGGCAGTTCAAGAAAGCTGTACGGAGGAGTCTGAAGCCTGTGCCAGTTACGTAAAGATACTATGGGGGGAATTTATCAAAACTGGAGCAGTTGCCTATGGCAACCAAGCAGCATCTCTCTTCAGTTTGCTTAGTGGAGATTTGAAAATGAGAGATAGAAGCTGATTGGTTGCAATCCAAGTCTGCTCCAGATTTACTCTGCTCCAGTTGTGATAAATTCTCCTCTGTGAGTCTTTGGCAGCACTGTGGTCAAGAGTTACAGTTTAGTTATGATTGCTCAAAGAGGATGTATTTGTAATTTTAAAAAGCCTAGTCTTTTGTACTAATTTAAGCTGACCACAGACATTTCAGTCTGTTTGCACAACCTTTTATTTTAGTTTGACCAAGTTTCTACCAGACTGATTTTAAATGGAAATGTTTAAGTTGGTTTATAAATCTAAATGAGTTTGTACTGAGTTTGCACAGTTACGTGTAGGCAGATTTGGACTCTGTTATTCTGTGTACAAGTTTAGGTTGCACAAACAATAAATCTCTTTGCTGCTTAGAGACTGCTTGCTGACCATCTTCTCATTGTAGCCGCCTGGTTCTGCAAATAAGGTGACCGCTAACAAGTGGATACATTTCTCAGTATTACACGGATATACATTTCACTGTGTTCATCAAGGTTTATACTTCAGACACAATTTAGTAAGTTTAGAAGTGATTTTGAAATGCCAATTAAAGCTGGCTATACACAGTACGGATTTCGGACGGTTCTTGATGAACCTGACCGAAATTTACATAGTGGGGTGCCCCTGTCGGACCTTTACATCCAGCATTCTTTAGTTGGAAAATTTGGGGACAAACAGTAATGGCAGCCAATCCGCAATCAGCACCCCCTCCTCTGTCAGAATACAAAGCACACAATGGGAGATTCGTCGTGGATGGAGAAATCTGTTATATTTTTTTCGCTCAGCATTCAGGTTCAACAAAAAATATAACTGTGTATACCCAGCTTTAGGAGTAACTAATTATTTTCCTTTTGTATCTTTAGGCTGTCTCCAATCTAATTGCAGTGGGCACCTCTCATGGTCTGGCCCTTATATTTGGTAAGCTGATCTTATTTTCACATGTATGTCAGCCGTGTGTTAAACTACTGTTTGATTAAAAAATCCTTCTTCCTTGGGTGTAGTAATATGTAACCTTTCTCTCTGTCCCTTTTCCTCACCTTATGGAACTGAGAAGGTAAAGGTATGGGAATGCTTTGCATGCAGTTATGAGAAATGGTGTTGGACGTGTTAAACGCATCCTTTTTGTTGAAGTGAAAATTCTGTTTTAATGATATATGTGCTAATGCCAATAGAAATATATGGGCCGCTATCTCTGACTTTCTTCTAAGGATACTAGTTGCCCGCTTGTCTATGAGTCACTGACCCAGAACAGGCATGCAGATTACAAAAGGCAGAGTGAGGTCAGAATCTTGCATACTTGGTCCAGGTCAGTGTGGTACAAAGTACTCAAGCTGTTGGATCAGCAATGGTGACCATCATATTGACTCATAATGACATTACTATTTCCCCTTTAATTACATGGTCACACTTCTGTTACCTACAGTTCTGCTTCCACAGCATCATATTCTACCATGTTATTTTATATAATTTCATTAAATTATTATGACACCTTTTTTTGCCCTTTTATTGATATAATTAAGATTTTTCAGGGAACAACACTGAAACTCTAAGGGCTTATTCACTGCTACAAGACTCTATGACCAGCCAGTCTGTATGGAAAATGGACAGATATATTTAAGAACTTTGGGGGAAAAATTCTTAACCCTTGCAGTGGGGCTTTCAATGTACTGCAAGAGTTAAGTGCTTATTTGTGTCTAGGTTTTAAAACAAAAAAGTTAAACTTACCCAAACCTCGTATCTGGCCAGCTCTGACAGCGCAATGGTATGTCCCTCACGTTCTCATGTCCTATACAATGTATAGAATGTGAGTACTTGAGGATCCTTAGACCGCTGCAACGGAGGGGAAGTGCGGCGGAATGGACCAGCCTAAGAGCTGGCCAGCTCCAAGAATCAAGTGGGTATAACTTTATTTATTTGTTTAACCTAGACACAAGTGAGCACTTAACCCTTGCAGTGCAGGGGTATCCTCACTGAAATGGTTAAGATCTTTTTTTCCCCTGAGTTTTGCTTTAAGTTGGTTGCTTTGGTGCTGAATTCTACACTGCTCCATTTTCATGAAAAATGTTCAGATCTGAACCCTCACTTGAGGGAGGAGCCTACGGCCTGGTAAATGCCCAAGGGGTTTAGCTACAGACTTCATGCTCCTGCATTAAACCAGACAGATAGCACGGTTGGTCAAAGCTGTAGACCTGGCTGTCACTTTACATAGGAAGTTGCACTTGTAGGCAGTTGATGTTCAAGAGGGATGGCTATTCCAGTACAGACAAATGGGGCAGCTTTTCTATGCCTATTGCAATCCTTATTAAGGTCAGTCAAAGGGACTAGGGTATGCCAAAGCTGCTACCTTGCTTAGGGCCACATTCTGCCCTAATTTCTGACTAGCTAAGCTATATAACAACAGTGTCCAAATAGCAAAATATGCTATATTACCATATGCATGCGCAGCTCAGTGTACATTCTTAATTTGAAGAGGAAAGTAAGAGCCCTTTATTGCAGAAGTGCCATAGTAAAATCCTTCTGGCTTGCAAGTTTTTCATTTTAGGGCTAAGTTCCACTTTACGTCTTTAGCTAGGCATGTTTTTAGTACATATATTGTTATATTGATGCTAATTATTTCAGCAATGGCAGTAAACATTGAACTTTTCTACAGACGCAAACCAGGCCCTCCGTCTTTGTCTTGGAAGCACAGCGGTCGGTGCACAATATGGTGCCGTTTCAGCCTTAAGCATTAATAATGACTGTTCCAGGCTTCTCTGCGGTTTCGCGAAAGGACAGGTAATTGTACATCTAACTTCCTCTTCTGTGTTTATCTCTTATTTATCTTTACTTATGATCAGCATGTGGCTTTGTAGATTCTGGGGAATAGATGACGCTAGCCACACATGCATAATTTTTTTATTTATGTATTAATTGTTGATGCAACCCGTTTCCCACAGAAAAGAAAACACCGGGAGCCACAAAACCCTTTTGACATCTAAATTTGGATTCCGTGTCCTTAATTTGGAACAGTTTTATTATTTGCAGAAGAAACTCTAATAAAATAAAAAATATAATTTATTAAATTCATTTTTATTTTTTTCCTTGGCTCATTCCAGCCTGGAGCATTATATTGGACTGTTCTTCTATGGAAACAGTAGTATTTGAAGCTAAACTTCGGGATAAGCAAATATTGTCTAAATACAAGCAGGACATGTATTTTTACATGTATTTCTTTCAGATCGCTGCAGTTATCCAGTCTGAACGTTTGCCTCCTTCTTGTAATAAAGACCGGTCACTTCTGCTCTTTCTCCTGGTGCAGGGTGGGTAGTCCTGTCCTCGCACTCTCCTGTAGTTTTCTACAGGTGCCTGTAGTGGGTTTGTCTGTTGGGCCCCTCCCACAGCTCTGCTTTCTGCACAGGCTATGTAGAGTACAGTGATGATGCCACTGCTACTCTTATATAGTACTATCTGGGTTTGCAAAGGTATTTGGTGCACACAAAGTGGCTTTATATCCTTTGTGGCTATTGAGAAATATATTTAAAGAAAGATTTTTGTGTCCCGAACTCAGCTTTAAGTCAGGAAATAGGGTAAATATCCCCCAGTTGGTAAAGGTTACAGTAGAAGTCAGGAGCTCTATGCTTTATTTCTGGCTGTTTGTCATGTTGTTTAATAGAATTAGAAGAATTACACAATAAAGTTGCAGCAAAGTGGAGCAGATTTCAATAATCTGAACATACTATATGTAATGCTGTTTTGTTTGAAATTGTAAAGTGTAGTTTACCTAAATGTTTTATTATACTGTTCTGGCAGTAAATTCTTACATCTTGGAATTCATTTTAGCTATACAGAACAAACAAATAGAAATTAACTGCACAGTATACCAACATAAGCAATTATCAAAATAGCAGTTCAGGTAATGTCAATATTAGATGTTTTGTGGTACACCATGAATTAGAGCTTTAAGTAAAGATCTTTGTGTTTAAAGATTTATTCACATAATTCATCTTATGAATATCCTGTTCTTTCAGATTACGATGTGGGATCTGGCCAGCGGGAAGCTCCTGCGTTCTATAACGGACGCCCACCCACCTGGGACAGCCATTCTACACATTAAGGTATCTGTATCATTAACCTTTCTTCTGCTATAGGCTAAGATGATACTTTTGCTTTGTAGGAATCCCCCCTGATCTCTATGTTAGATTTTTAGCCAGTAACTAACACATCTAACATCTGCTTTTATTGTTCACAATGTAGTGTACCATATAATATTGAATAAGGTTAAAGCACTAATTAATGGCAGAATAATAAAACATCCGCCTTGAAGGTGGTTCACTCAATCCACTCCAGCGATCCGGATCGTTGAGCCTTTCTATGCAAAAGAAAAAAAAAAAGCTATAAACGCATTGATCATTGTTAAATAAGGGAACTAAGAATGCCAGTATGTGTCCAGGAAGTGTGAGTCTCCGAGACGTCCATAATCCTCTTATTACAGTGAATCTTACTGAGAATCTGTCATTATGTAGCTTGATAGTACAAAATACAGACTTTAAAACTTGACTTTTGGGAGAGGCCCATCAGATGTTTTCCGGTTCTTCATTTACTCATACTTTACTTTTGTTGGGAGTTACGTTGCACGTAAAACTCCCCCTTTTCCTGTACCAGCTCTTGATGCCTATCTGCAACAGACTGATGTTTTGATTGAAGGGCACAATTTTTTCCTCCTCCAGGAGGCACCTGTTGGTGCTGGAAGGCATACAGGGTAGTGATGGGCCTTCATTCTCAGCATTTTGTATGCCTGGTGTGCCAGGATGATATACATTCTAGAGGGGTACATCATATTTTATTATTTAATCATTTATTTTTTAAATCTGAAAAAGTTAAAGGAAGGAAGAGTAAGGAAATACCTATGGATGTGGCAACAGTTGTATAACTGCTTGATCAAAGTGACATGTTTAATTTGGCCTATCTGGTGGTTCATTTGTGCTTATAATTCTTATACAATTCACAAACATTTGAGATCCATGAACAATTTTCTGAAGTTAAAATGCTGCATTTTACTTGTAGCCCCCATTGAGTGCGTCTGGTTTTATTTTTAGGCAGAAGACAGGAATCACCAGCACTCAGTAATATCATTCAATATGTCCATTTATAAATGAATTAAATGGACATATTGAATGATATTATTGAGTGCTGGTGATTGCTGTCTTCCGCCTTGTGTCTGCACGGCGCCATCCGTGGTCATCACTGCGAGCACCACTGTTGCATAGGCCGGGAGCGTTGTGAGGAGTGCGGAGGGACTTTCTATCTACCTACATTTAGTTTTATTTTGTATTATTTTTATCTTTTACTTCTCCAGTACCAGCCAAAAGTGGTTAGTTGTTTACTTGTGATGTTACTAATGAAAAGCCAGTGCAAATGTTATTTTAATGGCATCTACAAGCTAAATGATGATCAACATTACAAAGCTGTGGTTTTTTTTTCAGTTTACAGATGACCCAACCCTTGCTATCTGCAATGACAGTGGAGGATCTGTATTTGAGCTGACTTTCAAGTAAGTTTCTTTCTGAACATTGTATCAGGCCTTGTAGGCCCGTTTGTTCATTTTGTGTATGTTATTTTATGTTATTGTATGTCCTCACCTTCTAACGGGCCATGGTTTTGGCACTTCAATCAGTAATAGTACTGTTTTAAAAATATAAACTCTTTAAATTATTGCATCATGGAACTGCATTATCAAGGATTAAACTACAGTTTTTATACTGGAAAGCCAAGTTTTTCAAGCTTCCATACATATATTTATGTTTCTGCTATAGAATGTCTGAAGCAAACCAAGATACGATGTTATCCTGGCAACATTTGTAGGGTTTGATATTTGTAATGCAGTCAAACGATAATGGCAGATGGCTGACTTAGGTTTATAGTAAATGACAGGACTAACAGACCTTGTGATTTGTGCAATTTGGCTCCCTCTCTGGGACTTAATCTGATATTTGCTCTGTTGATGGCTTTGGCTTCGATGCACCACCGTAAACTATTTACGGTTGTTTACCTTGAAAGCAAAAACTGTGAGATAGTAACTCATACTGCCACTAGATGGTGCCATACGGAGACTCTGACATGAGCAAAGAAGGAGCAAAACCCTACCTTTACCTGTATCACCACCTTTATACAGAGACACAGTACAGCACAATACATGTATGTCAGTAAAGGGGAAAAGATCAGCACAGACCACAAGCAACACTGGTGACTAACACTTTCCCCTATGCCTGCCCTTTTTGAGGCGAGTTTGGTTCCTCTTTATTAATAAAAGAATTGGTAGAAGCATGTTTGCTAAATATCTTAAGAACAATATAAAACACCTGGACATAGTATGCACCAACTTTAACCTATATAAGACAAGGTGGTGCTCACTATAAACAAACAGCGAGAATCTAACAAGTTCTACAATATTTTTTTTTGTGAGGATGAAAACATAGACCTACGACAGCTAACTTTCCATGTAACAGTTTCACATTCAAAGATCGCTGTAATGTAACAGAGTTGTGCCACCAGGCCTGTCCCGAGACAGTGAATTTAATGTGTAATAGTGTGTGGTTTTTCAATAAAAATTATATATTTTCTACAATTGGTTGATGTGTCCGGATCCTTAAGTTGCCCGCTACTAACCCGTTATCTTCTAACGGGTTAATCCTCGTTTTTTTGTACAAGTTCCTTTGGGCCACGGATCGGACGTAACAAGCAATCAGGTGTAAATTTAATTAGGGCAAATATAATCAGTCGGATCTCCAGGAAGGAACACAACCCCCTTTTTTCTGTCCCGAGACTAGCATTAGGAGGCAGCAGTGCCTTATATCTCACAATGCAGATATACAGCTATGAGGCTCTTGGTACAAGAGTGCCTAAGACAACTCACAAAGCAGGAAGGGTACTACAATTTTTCAGGAGGAAGTGAAGACAAGGTACTGCTTAGGCACAAGTAAAATGTCTTAATGTTCCCTATAAGATAGCAAATCTTCACTTTTTAATTAAGTTCCACTTAGGTGTTTTATTAATTGATAGTTGTTATGACCAGCGTTTGTCTGTGGACCATAGAAACGTATATATAAATTCAGAAGCGAAGGAAATAAGGCTATTAGACTGTGAGACTGGTTATCTATCTTTCACAGAAGAGTGAAACAAAACGCCAGTAGGCTAAATGGAAATTAAAAAAGCTGATCTATACAGTGTGTCAAAGGATTGAGATAAGACATTGCTGTGTGTAAATTATCACAATGTCTCTGATACTGCAAAGTGCAAAAGGTCTCAGATTCTAAAAGTCTATTTGGCCAAATAAATGCCAAAAAATTATATTTTTCTGCCAGATTGTAAAAAATTTCTATACAGACATAAAGCGACATAACATTACAGAATTACTTGTTTGTCTATTATAAGTGATATCCATGTTTTTTTACATTGAATTTTCCATTAAAAGTTGAATGAAGCTTTTTGGACTGACATCCAAAATAACAATAATCAAATAAAAATGACATAACGTCTTTCTGAAATAGCATTATATAATATCGTAGGTGTTTAGAGTATCTGGCCCAAATTGGCTTTGTTCAGTTGTTGCGTGTTTAAAAGAAAACCACCACTGATGTTACCATTTGTCTTATGATACAGGCGAGTAATGGGCGTGAGAAGCTGTGAATCCAGATGTCTGTTCAGTGGATCCAAGGGAGAAGTTTGCTGTATTGAGCCGCTGCACACAAAAGCTGAACTTAGAGATCACCCTATTGCCCAGTACTCTCTACTGGCCATGGCATCCTTGACTAAGGTATAAGAACACTGATACATGCAAGTGAGATCAAACGGCACACAATGCTGTCACAGCATGTTGAGCCTCATCATCGAGGATCTGCTTGGAAATGCTGCTTTGGGGACTTTATTAAACTACCAATTTTCATGATACATGAACTATATATCATAACACTAGCCATAGATAGTCTTACAACTCTGTTTACTGATAGATATGATGGGTATCATAGGCATAGAGAGAGAGAGAGAGAGATCCAGAGAGATCGATCGGGGGAGAGAGAGAGAGATCGATCGGGGGAGAGAGAGAGAGAGAGAGAGATCGGGGGAGAGAGAGAGAGATCGATCGGGGGAGAGAGAGATCGATCGAGGGAGAGAGAGATCGATCGAGGGAGAGAGAGATCGATCGGGGTAGGGAGAGAGAGATCGATCGGGGTAGGGAGAGAGAGATCGATCGGGGTAGGGAGAGAGAGAGCGATCGGGGTAGGGAGAGAGAGAGCGATCGGGGGGGAGATCGAGAGAGAGGGAGAGATCGAGAGAGGGAGGGATATTTCACTCTGACTTTCCAGATCTGTATGCTTGTAGTATTTCAAAGTATCACTAATGGCCAAGACAACTAATGTTTTCAGGAGATCAGCAGTGGCAGTCTCTGCCTCTATAATTCTTTAAGTTAATTTAAGTTTTAGCAGACGAGCAATCCTGGGTCTCTATGCTTTTAATCTATCATGTGCTCTAAAAAATATATATAATATAAATATGAATGATATAAGATGCTGTTCCTTTAGTATTAGTTTAGCATTTTAAGTCCCATTGAATGGGCCCTGACAGTTGTTTAACAAGTGATATTTCCTCAATTGGAGATATTTACTCTCACTTCCTGTTGTGTTTCCAGGATAGGAAGTGAAGAGAAATCTTAGCATTCGGACACAGACAGCAAAGAAAAAGGCTGGCTGGGGTTGAAATGATTTCATATTCTATCTGAAACCAGAAGAAAATGTTTTGAGAAAATATACACTTTAAAGCAGTATTAATCTCTCAAACTTTTTTTCAATAATCTAGATCAAACAAATATACTGTACATTGCCCCACAAAGTTTTTTAATTTTTGCCCAAGCAATTACAGTCATCATGTTTCTCAACAGCTCCACCTCTCTCAGCACAGCTTCCTTGAACTTCCTGTCCAGTACAAGATTCCAAAGGACAGCACAGTCTCCAGCAGCTGGCCATCTACTAGCTTGGAGAAGGGAGAGCAGGGATCAAGGGTAGGGTACTGACTTGCCCTGCTCTTCCTGTGTGTTTGTGGAGAAACACACAGCATACTAGCACACACAAGGGTGGCTCCATAGGATCGTGCAGGGGAGAGGAGCCACCTTTAAAACAGGATATCTGGGCCAGAGCTCAGGGCAACAGCTGATTCTACAGGAAATTAAAACCTTTAAACATCATGGAGCAGCATCCATTGTAAGTAATTTAATCAGCATCTAAAATAGCTTAATAACCTTTTGACTATAATATCACTTTAACTCCCAAAACCTAACTCTAAATAGCCTTTTTTCTTATCAGGCTGCATAAGTCTCAGTGCTTAATCTACAGAAGTATTTTCCTCTATACTAAAGCAAGCTGCTTTGGTCATTTAAAGTATATTGGCAGCACACAGTTTTGAGTTTCTATCTGTACAGGAACAGATGAATGGCGCTGGAAGCAAACTGTAAATGCTCTAAGGTGTGTACAGCTGCGGCATCTGTCTGCCTGTCATTGATTTGTATAGGCTGCTGCCTGAGGCTGTACACAAACACCTGGGACTCCTGGGTGCAGAATTCACAATCCTTTGTACACTGTAGGGCTCTCTGTATCCATGTGAAGAAGGTCTATATCTACACTGGTCAATATACTTTCTATACAAATAATATCAACAGGGCTGTTTATTGCTACAACAGGAAGCCGTGTATTGTTTTAAATGTTATACTAAAGCAATACTTGGAATTCTTTAGATGCAAACTTGTTGAAGATTCACCTAAAGGCACATTATGCCGACAATTTCATTGACTGTGCATAGTAATAGATTGTTAATGCCTCTTCTTGTTCTTCCTGCAGATACTAGTAATTGGCTTGAAACCATCTCTGAAAGTTTGGATGACTTTTCCATATGGGCGAGTAAGTAGTCTTCCCTGACCTTCAAAAGCTATCGGATCATTTGGATCAGGCTGGGCCTTCTTTATTAAAGAGAACTGCTTCCATTTTCTTAATTCAGTTTCAGGTTTTACTGATAATTGACAACTGAAGAGTCTAACTCTGAATCTGATCATTTGCTACAGGAAAATAATACCAGTTCTTATATGCGATATTAATATATATAAGGTTTCGTGTATTTTATATGTTGCATCAAATAATGCACTCAGACTAGTTGTGATTAGGATTTGTGCTCATATCTTTATAAGTATGATAGTGTATTATATTTAGGACACACAAGGCTGCTGGTGTGCGCGTGCCTGTACATATAGGGACCTAAGATTGTAAGCTTTTTGAGGGCAGGAACTGATGTGAATGTACAGTGTGTAAAGCAATGGGTCAATTAATGGTGTTATATAAATGTCTGTAATAAATAAACAAACCAAAAGTCAGCTGTGGCATCCTACATATTTCTCTCAGTAAAGATTTCCTTTCATAAATTTATACATTTTTTGTTTGTCATCATATACGTGATTGATGATGACCCTTTAAATGTATGCAGTGTAAAATTAGTACAGGTAATGGAAGATTACCTCATCATGCCCTCATCTTTGTTGTCTGGCCTGTGGGAAATTGACTGTAGATTTTTAATGGCCCCCGGGGTTAAATTATATGCAAGGAAAAAAAAAATGTTAAGTGCATCTCTACAAAACATATTTCTCCATGTTTTCTTAATTAAAAAACTTAAAGTATGGAAATGTACCTATTGATCTGCCAGAAATCCAGTGTGCCCCAACTTCCTATTTGGACGGTGAACACAGTGCATTTTTGTTACTGCTTTCCTTACCAGCATTGTCAGCCCTGCCTGCTGGACTACAGCATTCTACCTATTCCCCACTTTTCTCTATCCCATTCCACAAGCAAACATTTGTATCTTTCCTGGTAAAAGAATGCTGCTGTCCTTATTCCCAAGAGCCTGCCCACACACTTTTATAGGTAAAGGGCTCATTGGAGATGTAGTTCTGGCAGCTGGTTTGCTACTGGGATAAGATAAAGAAAAAATAATGCTGGGATATGCACTTGGGGGGAAGAGGGAGGTTTTGGAGTAAATTTGGATAATGCCTTGACATACCCTTACAGAGCAAAAATTATTATAATTTTTATTATTTTAGGTCTTATAACAATTTCTAAAATAGTCACTTATACAACATCTATACTGTATATATATAATTTCTGATAAGATCAGTTTGTCACATTTGAACTGTATTTCTTACAGATGGATCCTTCAAGTGTCCCACTTCTAGCATGGCATTTTGTGATCCTGCAGGGAGCTTTGAACCCCATGTTGGCATTCTGCAGAGGAGATGTGGTGCATTTTCTCTTGGTAAGGACATATTACACAAGAAGTTTAGTATATCCTTATGTAATGGTATGTACTGTTTCTGAACTGCAGTTAGACCTTTTTACTAGCTAGAGCTGTATATGTAATCTTTTATTTTTAAAAATAAAATATCTGATAAAAGCTGTCCCAGTTGCGCAGATTTTAGACCAAAAAACGTTCCAGTCACTTATTACGTTTTGCAAGATAACAGCTGACAACGTTTCTGAAAAGGAAGGATGGATAGATGCCACTGGATCCTCAAGGCGGTTTGTATTTTCACCAGGTAGGGAGACTATGGTGGTAATGTGCAATGCTTTGACACTGGGCTGGCATCATTTCCAGGGCCACTTCCGACTTGTATAAGGACAGGAGCACCACACCAGAGTGCTGAAATCCTTTGCTTGATCCTTTTGTTGGAGTGCACGTTACTGGGGCTGGTGGTGCATGGTATCTCTGTCCGGTATCTCGCCCAGCTCACTGATGTCACTGGTTATCAGGAGCTGGGTGGGATGCCAGCCACAGCATCCCGCTCAGCTACTGGCAACCAGTGATGTCAATGAGCTGGTCGGGACGCTGGCCAGAGCATTAGCACCCCATGTGACCCAATGAGATGCCGCCAGAGGCAACCGCGTCTTTGCAGGCAAGCACTTATATTCCTAGAAAAATCCTCTGCAGTAATAGGACAGGCCTGCCATCAAATAGATTTTGATACCTTCCAGGTAAATTTGGGATTCTCCCAATTTCCTATAGTTGTTGATACTGATGAACAGGATTTTAATTCTTCAGTTTAGAGAGGATCCACTCTAATCGCATTAAATCACACATAGAGATAAATTGCTTCAACAAATCTCAAACTATTTCTAAAAACCTTGCATTTATGTTTTCCCTAAAATATTAGGGCTGGTAATGATTAAAATGTTTGTGTTCGATTAATCGAAATTTTTTTTAAATCGATTAATTGATTAATTTCGATTAATTATAATGCACATACAGATCCAACTACATTGGCCTATACACATAAAGCACAGCAATGAAGTAATCAAATTAACTAGGATCACACTAATCCAGCACGTTATTAATCTCACATGGGGCAACTCAGAATAATAACGTGCTGGATTAGTGTGTTTCTAGTTCATTATATGACTTCATTGCTGTGCTGTATGTGTATAGGCCAATGCCTTGGCTGGCGCTCATGCAGAGAGTTTCAAAAAAAAATTAATCGATCAAAAAATTTTTCATCGATCAAAAAGATTAAAGATTAATCGAGAAATTAATCGTTAATTTGCACAGCCCTATAAAATATGTGTGCGTGTTTCAGAGAATTACCGAGTGCTCGAATCCTGATTGCGTGTCTTCATGAATTGTATGATGTTCCACAAGTTAGACACATCTACATGCATATAATCAAGACAATTGAAATTAGCAATTTACTGGAAAAAAAGTTACAATTTACCTTAGTCACATGATATGTTCATATCTAACCATAATGCTCTCTAAAACTAGCCTGGGGCAATGTGTGAAACTGTCCTATTGAGTTTTCAGGAAATGACTGGCTTAATAATACAAATGCTATCTACAGGTGAAGAGAGATGAATCTGGAGCAATTCATATAAACAAGCAGAAACAGCTTCACTTGCACTATGATCTTATCAACTTCACAGTAAGTACTACATTGTCATATATGTATGGATTTTTAACAGTTGTTACCTGTTAGGGCCCATTCACACTAGAAGCATTGGGACTTTGCTAGCAGTTTTTTCCAGTTCAGCCCCATAAGGCAATTTACCTTGTTGTAGAACCCGTTCACATGGGGGGGGTTCGGCCGCATTGATTTGCACACATGAACGATTTAATACATTGCTATGGGGACCGTTCATGTGACCGCACGATCAGCACCGCCCCCCACTCAAACTACTCCCTGCACTGATCAATGCGGTTCCCATACAGCTTTCAATGGAACCACGCTGAAACACAATTAAAAACTCCCAAAACCTCCCTTTTGAGATCAGGGGGGTAACCGCGCTGATCCGCAACCCCCCTGGTGTGAATGGGCTCTTAAATGGGCACAGTTTATACCACCACATTGCGGTTCTGCATGCTGTACCTTTTTTTAGCACCGTCTTGCTGCATGATACAACCGCATCGCACCACACTGTGCCGATAGAACTAAAAAAATAAGTAAACAGTATAATGTGCTAAAATCTGCACATCAGTACTATGCCTGTCAGTGCATACCAGCAGTATTGATGGCTTGTTGGTATGAATGGGCCCTCAACTGCTTTTGGTTTTCACACACTATTTAGAAACATTTTAGAAATAAAGCAGTGTGTAGATATTTTTGATTGTTACATATTGTATTCCATGAAGAGTAATATAATTTATAGGTCTGATTTTATATGGACACTTTTGTAAGTGTAAAACTCTTTTTCTGGGTTGCAGTGGATTAATGCGCGCACAGTGGCTCTCCTGGACAGTGCCGAGAAACTCCATGTTATTGACAGGCAGACACAGGAAGAGCTGGAGACTCTGGAGATTTCTGATTTCCAGCTTGTGTACAACAGCAGCCACTTCAAATCTTTGGCCACCGGGGGCAATGTGAGCCAGGCTTTGGTAAGATATTTTTAGAAAACCGGTGCACTGTTGAAATCCCCCAGTGTTTGTTACAGTTTTGGGTAAGACAGCCATCATTATAATTAAAGAATTAAAAAAAGCTGTATTCTTTTTTTTCTTTCTTTTTAGCACATATGAAGCAATAGTATCTGCATATTTGATGTGATATATAGTAATGTTGTAATTTACCTTTTGCACAGCCACTCACAAACATGCAATCTACTGAACAATTAATATGAATTGTTCTTCTTTTACTCTCATTTTATCAGTAGGTGATCACAGGCAGTGGGTAATACTTTAACCAGCTAGGAAGCATATCCCTGAATAAAAAAGCTACCTCCTTCTCTCCCCCAAACCAAACTGGATCTTTTAACTCAATAATTTGAGGCCAGAAAACATAAGATTGGGGTTGTTGAGAAATGCAAATCAAACTATTATGTTGCAGCTCATATAATTTATTGGGTACACAGCAGAATGTCTATCTGTCTTGAGCTATCATCCTCTTGGTGAAGTATTGCACACATCTATTGTCCCAAATAATAACTAATTTTCTGAACCATTATTTATATTGCACAGATTAAGAGATTTTTGGGGCTTTTGTTTACATTCTTTAATTTTGTTAAATTTGTGCACTAGTGGCATCCTTTTCAAACCCTTCAAAAAAGCAGGTTTCATGCTCCAAATACTGTATTTGGCACACTGACATTAGTTTATCCATCCCTTTTGAATTAATGTAAAATCTCGCCTAAATTTACCAAGTATTGTACCTGGCTAATACAGTAAGTTAAATGTGATATCTTTGTTCGTTGATAATGTTCAGAGGTACATAATGTATCTGTAAGAAATACATTATTATTTGTCATTTTTTTTTAAAAACCAAATCACTAAGATTGCCTTAATATTATAAATTGGCTAAATCCCATACATTACATTCTGATTGTACACGCTTCTAAAGCTCTTCTAACAATTATATGGTACAAAGACCTGTCTAATCGGATATACATTGAATAGGTTTAAGTTTAAGTATAGGCTTGCATTTCATTGTTTTTAGTACATCTAAATACAATTTTGATTGTCAGATTAGGCTGCATTCATACGGACTTGTATGTGCGCTTTGAGATCCCTGCTGCAAGAACCTCCGAATTCATGCTGCAGGAATCCTAGGTGTGCTTGTTCAGGCTGTACCCATTCAAGTTAATGGCAGGGTGACAGCGACCTCATCTGTCAGCAGCAGTCTGCATTTAATCATACATGGTACTTTTACATGCAGTTTTGGATAGATGATTATCCCTGGACACATCTCTCTATAGGTTCTTGCCACAGGAATCCCAGAATGCATATCCATGCGCTGTGTGAATGCAGCCTTACATGTATGGTTATCTTTAGATTTTTAAAATGATTGAAAAAATATTTTAAATCAGAATAGTAGGATGGAATATAGTGGTCAATGAGGGACTAAACCCATGCCAAGTCAATTCATTATAGCACTGATATTTTAGTGTTGATGAGCAAAGTTAAAAACCTGATATGTCTGTGCTGGCCAGAAGAGAAAGGAGATGTGGGGCTATTCATAGAAAATCCATTCCATCGTATAAAAAGCTTCCCAGATCATATTTGTTCAGATTTCAAAGGCTGCCTGAAAGCTGTATGAGGACCAATGCAATGCATTAGATGCATTTTCCCATCTACCCAAGCCCATAAAACATTTTGCATTGTCATTTGTACCTACCAGTATCAGAAACTGTATCACATATGCAATCTTTCAATATCTAGCTGTGAATCCCACATATTAAATGTTGCTGCATTTGCAAATCATATACGCCATTCCAGTTCCAGTTGATGTGCTGGCCAGTTATGGACGGTGTGCAGGAGTTTATCTGTAGGTAAATAGATGCTAGTTCTAAAATTGCCTGTGCAATTTTGCAAACACTTTAGAGTTATAGATTTTATTTTTGCCATTCTGATTTATACCTATAGAAGTAGGACTAAGCTGTGTAGAGAAAGAAAGGTTAAGAGGCCTTTATAAATTGACACTGTAAGAGGAAAATATGAATTACTGTTCTCAAACACAGGATACAAAAACATGATTATAGACTTACAATGGAATTACAGTACTATTTATGCATGTATAGACATGATACAGGCTGGAAAACATGTTCTTGATATTTCTCCAATTTATTTTATAAATACATTATTCCACATTAAATTTCTTGTTCTTTTTTGTAAAAAGCTGAACCTAGGCAAGCAGTTAAACACACATTACGAGTTGTAATATGTATGTGTGAACTGATTAGCTTACCAAGGGTCGGTGATCCTGAAACTCCTGCCATATTTCATATTTTAAGGTTCCTTTACAGTAGACTAGTCTGTACTTAAGCACTACAGCCTAGTCTAGAACCCACCCCACCCTGTGACTAGACAGTGAAGGAGCAGCAGCACACTAATGAGATCACCTCTCCAGAAGCTCTCATTGTGATATTTTCAGCATTGGGCATTGCAACCAAACCTGATAGACAATGCTGCCGCTCCCTCTGCCAGCTAAGCAGGAGATTGATAGATTCAGGTGCTTTTACCTGCTGTACAGCTCTATGTAGAAATATGATTTACTGAGGCACTCAGGGCAAAACAAAAGGTTATATTTTAGGGGTTCAGCTTAATAGTGACCCAAACTTCCTTTTTCAAACTCTGTTGCTCTACTGGGAGCAAAGAAAATTCCCAGTACCCCCTTCCTCCTATGTTACAGAGCTTGTTTGCTCATTGGTAGCTCAGGTTACCCGTAGTCCATGACATGAGGGTGGCTGGAGAGTTCTCAGCACTGTAAAAGCTCCAACCTGTAACTTTAAGTTTGCACATGGCTAACTCTCCTTCATTCCCAGCAAACGAAAAGCATGGTACTGGGATGACGTGAACCTACTGCTTTGCCCTACATTAAAATTCACTAGTTTACTTTAAAGAGCTCTGCCATGTTTCTTCATTCCCAGCTAAATCAAGGCTAATAATCTCTACTAGAAAACGCCTTTAATGGAAAGGGTGACACGTCTGCCTTTGAACCAGTATGCTGCCCAGGAGTCCCAATGAAGGCCAATTCCAACAGCAAGTCTTCAGCCTTGTCTCAACCATGAAAGAAGGGACATGGCATAAATACCTTCAGGCAATTATTTCAGCTAGAACATTTTCAGCAAGGATATAAAAGATGAATAATAATAAAACAGTACAGCTTAAGAGGTTGTACAGATACCACAACCTCCACTCCTGATTCCCTAACCTGAACAATGAATGCTTCCCCTGAAAGTTGTCATCTTGGGTGTGTCTGCCGGCCACTCAAACCTTCAAGATTGTCTCTTAGTCAAACTCTGCAACTGTCATCTTATGGGCTACTTTAGTATTTTCATGCACATGAGGCAGTCACCTAATCCTGATGATAGATATTTTAGGGAATAGCTTTTGGTTATGTTCTTTTCCCCATACTAAGCTGCGCAAGAGGTGTTTGATGTAAATATGCTTGCTCATCTAAGTAGAATGTGCATGTTTATAAACCCATAGGCCAAGGCACATCCTAAATGCCTGAGCATCCAACAGCTCTCAAATATCCATAGCCAGCTTTAGCAAATATTTTTTTGTGCAGCCCCATTTGGAAATCAAAACACAAACACCAAAAAAAAAGTGAGATATGAGAGGAATTAAATCTAAAGTTCCATAACACTTTTATCCATTATTACTAATGTGTGTTATTTACATTTTTTGTTGTGTCTGGAGGAACAATGGTTTAACATTTGCATACGGAAAAACTTCTTTGCACTAAGAGTGGTGAAAGTGTAATAAACCTCTACAGAGCAAGTTCTAGCCAACTCAGTAGATTGCGTAAAATATTTTTTCCCTTTTGTTGGAGCAAATTACACCATGCATTCCAGGGGTTTCTTTGGTCTCCTGTGGATGAACTACAGGTTTAGAGTCTTGAGGATATAGATTTTGTAAAGTTTTAATATATTAGAACTTGCACTTGAATAGCAAGGTCTTCCTATTTAGTGTATCCCCCTTGCTAAAAACACCTGTGGGGGTAAAAAGTTTGATATTATACTTGGCTTTCCCCCACCTTTCGCAGTGCTTAGGCGAGGGTGAGATCATCATCCTTCCACTGCCAGCACGTTCCTGGGGATTGTTGAGAGGACCAAATCTTAATAGAAAGCAATCCTGCACTGTACAAAAGTGTCTTCTCATGAAATTTGGAATAGGATGGTGCCTTCACCCCCTGCAACAGACACCAGGGGAAAGGTAAGTATGTTATCTAACTTTTTTTCCTTACAGGTGTTTAATGCAGCATTTTAGCACGGCAGAGGGGGTTCACACTAAATAAGTGGACCTTGCTTGGAGTGCAGGTTATGATTTAATGTCTTTGGTTGAACTCCATGGACTTGTATCTTTTTTTTTTTTATCTGATTGCCTGTGTAACTTTTTTGTTGTTGTATGTTTGCATTTGCAGGCTTTTTTTTTTAATCTGATTGCCTGTGTAACTTTTTTGTTGTATGTTTGCATTTGCAGGCTTTAGTAGGAGAGAAAGCTTGCTATCAGTCAATCAGCAGTTATGGAGGGCAAATATTCTACCTTGGAACTAAGGTACAGTATTGGGGCCATTGTGTAAAAAAGCAGGATGGGAAATGTTAGAGATTTCACTATTCGCAAACAATCGTATTACAGTTGTCATTTTTTTTAGTTCAGATATGAAAGTGCAAACAGTTGTTACTGTCTTCCTAACTCTCCTTTGTGTGAAATGTACAGTCTCTATATTGATGGGTATGACACTGAGGAGTCTAATGTGTGTACTTAGTAGCACAGTCAATGGGTTAAGCTGTATTTACTCTTTGTGCTCTGCCTTGCTATTTGTTTAAGACGTGACACTTCCGCCCCCTCATTTTTTTGTTCCTATCACTCATTCTGTCTGTAGGTCTCTAACTTCCTACTTTGGACCCTGTCCCATGCTTATCGTGTCTCTCTTTCTGTCTTCATAGTCAGTCCATGCAATGATGCTCAGGAACTGGCGGGAGGTAAGGAACACTGTCATCTCACACATTTCCTGTTTGCAGAACAATCTCAGGTTTCTCATAATACCTTATTACTGCAGTGTACGATTTAAATGTAATGTTTGCCTAGCATTTGCGTTGTCTTTGTTAAAACTTGTGCACATATAGGCATACAATCATAAAGCTATACAAGCTGAAAATCAGGCAGTTGATATGATTTTCGAACTGCAATACATTTTTCTAAATCTTTGCAGTAAAACTACACATCTGAGTGTGCTAAATAATATACACTTTAGAAGAGCCCACATCAGAAAACGACATGCTTAGAGCAGGCATTGATCTGGCTTTAGCCTATGCTTGTTTTCTGAATCCCACTCAATTAGGGGGATTTATCTAAACTGCTTCTCCAGTTTGTTCAGTTAAGCTTTGAAAATATAAGGTGGATGCTGATTGGTTGCCATGCACAGCCGCTCCACATTTTGTCTGCTCCAGTTTTGATAAATTCCCCCTAATGTGTTTTATTACTTCTTCACACCGCCCTTAGTAAGGTGAACTTATACTGATTTGTTTTAAAGCTGAACTCCGGGGCAAAAGGACAATCATCCCTTGCAGTGGGGCTCTCCCCGCACTGCAAGGGTTAAATGCTTGTTTATGCCTAGGGTACCCCTAGAAAGGACTTTTTACCCCATTCCTTGATCCCCCAGCACCTGGTGCATTCCTTTTCTCCCTTACGCTCTGGGTTGTGGGTGGTCTCTCTGTGTCCTCATGTCAATGCAGGCCTGTTGGCCCTGCCTTGTACTTGATGTCTTTAGAGTGCCTGCGCTTAGAGAAGAGGCTGCAGGACCTCGTTGCATAGTGTAAAGGGAGCATGCAGGAGCGAGGGTTTAGGTAAGTAAGTCGTTTTTACTAGTAAACAAAGCTTTTTCTTTTCCCACTGGTATTCCTCTTTAATTGAAGATTTAAAGTAAATCGCTTATGAGAAACACATGAATGCTTTCCTTGCTGAATTCCCTCTGAAAATGTGACTTACGCATGGCTTTTATGCTGACCCACTGGATGCAGCACTGCCTGCTTCATTGGCCCAGAACAAGTATGCAGATCAAGGAAGTCAGACATTCCTGTTTGCCTACTTGTTCTATAACAGCCAAGCAACTGACATTTTCAGCAGTGATGGCCTCCATGTTTTCTCACAGCAAGTTTACTTTAAAGCCCTGATTTAAGTAATTCTCATTTAAATGGCTTCAAAACCTGTGTATAAAAATGTAACTCTGGCTGGAATGCTAACTTTCAACCTGGAGCTGTCTCTTGCAGTACTTCAGTCTTGCCAGGAAATGTGCTTGGTCCTCCAGGTTGATGCCAAGTCCTATACAACACAGAAGATTGAGGGCTGTTACTGTTAGTACAGGGTATAACGGGACCCCATGGGGGATGTCGCCACAGCACCCTTCATTTACACTGTTTTGATGCAGAGAGTGGCACTGAAGGAATTATGTCAGTGGCAATCTCTGCATCTTTAGGGGACTGCCCAGGGTGCCCGAAGTGGAGGCAAAGAAGAAGAGGACCCAGCACATCACATAACCAGCCAGAAGACCTCTGAAAAAGCTAAGTATAAACAAAACATACTGTCAAAGTGTCCGTCCATATGCGAGTTGGGCTTTAAAGGGTAAGTTCACTTTTTATATATTTTTTTTAAATAGACTTTACAGTCAAGAGCCCCAGTAGGTACCAATAAACTAAGTAGCTTTTAAAACATCTTTAGTAATGTATCCCCAGGAGGGAATGACATCCTTGTTCACAGCCCCGCACATGCAAAGTGCACTCCCTCTGCTGATGCTGTGGCTGAGCTCAGCTGCTGTGACGGGAGAGAGCGCAGTGCACATGTGCAAGGCTCTGAACAAAAGTGGCGCTGACTACTATGTTGCTTGGGAGGGGGCGTCCAACATCTGCCTCATCTCGGTATCAGAACAGAGCAGGGCTTTGCAGAATATTGGGAGTTTTTCTGGCAGGCTTTGGTGGGGGTGCAAATGGCCTACAGGTATGGCAGATACACTACTGAAGATTTTTAAAAGCTGCTTAGTTTGTTGGTACCTGCTGGTGCTCTCGACTGCATTGGCTTTTTGTTTTTTAAAAGGTTAACTAATCCTTTAAGTGATTTAGTAAACGCATTGTGGGGAATTTATCAAAACTGGAGCAGACAAAATCTGGAGCAGCTGTGCACATCAACCAATCAGCCTCTTTCTTTTTTTATTGCAAATCTTAAGTCTCATCTCATCAAGACCTTCAAGTTAAACAGAAGACGACTAAATATCTTCTAGTGACACTAAACTCACACATTCAAGTACCCTAACTATTAACAATTCTGTACCTTATTTCTGCATCACTCAGCTGTAGATGGTTCCAAACTCGCCGCCCTGATGGACCTCTATCTTGATACAAATTAGTAAATGTGAGCTTGTAATCCATCATGGAAACAAGCTTGGAACGGTGGCTACTTTACAACACACACACACATGGGCCATGGGGAACAAAAGTAGCCACTCTCCAGAAGGAAGAACTGTGTCAGCATGAATTCAGAGATGAATAGGTACTTGAATGCATTTTTAGGGGTTAAATCCTGAGTTTAGTGTCACTTTAGTATAAAAGAATTTTAATAGGAATCACAAAGATGATTTTTTTTTTGTGACTGTAGAATAATTTATGTTCTATGACTGACTTCCTATTTACTCTTTCCAAAGAATAATACTGATTTGTGATCACTTGTTTTAAGCCTACAGTTGTACAGCATAGTTAGATACCTTGTTATATAATTATTTTTTGTGCATGTATACCATAGAAGCAAAAACTGCAGTTGTATAGAAGCTCCCAACACTGTTTTGAGTCTGGATGCTGTACAAAATTATTCAACATGGCTCCAATAAGAGTAGATTTTGTATTTTATTGTAACACTAATATGAATATTGGCAGACTCAGTGAAACATGTTACTTTATTTGATTGGTGAATCTCTGGATATCCATATCTTTTGGTTGTGATATCTTCCCTTTCAAGGAAACCTGTGATGAGACTGCCATTACTAAGGTAATTCTGAAAACACTAGTTACCTGGTCATTACACTAAACAATGACTTCAGTACTTTGAATCACTGACCCCAAAAAACTTTTATTATTTGTGCAATTTTAGAATTCATTTTAAACTTACAAACAGTTATACATTTATTTCCTGTTTATGCAGCCCACCAAACTATATTTTTATTCTTCCTACAGAGAATTGATCACCTGCTGAAACAGGACTGTTACAATGAAGCCCTGGCTTTAGCATGGTCATTTCATGAAGGCAAGGCCAAAGCTGTTGTGGGTAAGTTAGATTAATCTGATAATAGAAGATGTTTAATTTTCTCAAAAGCTGAAAGAAAGATAACAGATACACATATTGCACATCATTGGTATGTATGTATAAAAAAAATGTAACCATTTTTGGTAGCACTAAACTTTGTGATTTGTGGCTGTGTGTTATAGTGTACTCTGCAGTTTATATAGGATTATCCGTTTGTCATGTGCCGCTCTTTCTGCAGGTCTTTCAGGGGACCCAAAGAAAAGGAAGAGTGTTGTTGCTGATAAGGTGAGATTTGGTCTCGTGGTGCTAAAACAGGAAGCGTGCTGGGCAGGAAACTACATCTCGTATAATCAGAGGCATCATGAATCTCTTTAAATGGTCTATCCACTCAAAGCTGAAACTTCTCGTTTTTCAGTTATTGCTGGAGAGTAGGGGTGGAGGGATCTCTGAAGTTGATATCCCAGGCAGGTGTGTGGGAGAGGCTGGTACTCTGCAGATTACCTGATATCCTAGATTCAATACTTAAAATTATTTTGTCTGTGCCCACATTAATTATTCATGGCTGACCTAAAGCCAGAAGGAAAGTTTCTGTTCCTTGAAGTAGAACTGTTACTGTTCCTTCTACAGTTTTTTTTCCGCTGTGGTATGCCAAATGAAGGTCCTTTTTAAAAAAAAAATCTTTCCACATTTGTAAAATGTTAAGAACAAACATGCCATTGCAGTTATATTATGCTATTCGATTAGATGTAAATGATGCTTGAGTTCTACTTTAACCGAGTTACAAAGTCTGCATAAGTGGATCAGCCCTGTCAAATTACCTTTTCTGGTCAGACAAATGTGTGACGCAGTTGGAAGTATTGAAAGGAAAGTCACCAGCACTCGTGCCGTAAGAACATAAATCCTGGTTTTGTTTATAAAGGTATCTTCAGGGCCATGTAGTCACTATGTCATCCTGAAGAAGGGATACTACGTGGCCCCGAAATATTGGGTTCTTGTGACGAATGTGACGATACCTTAATAAATAGAATCAGGATTTATGTTCTTACTTTGTGCCTGCTGTGACTTTCCTTTGGAAAACTTTGGAGTTTTACATGGCGCCATCCATGTCATCACTGAGAGCACCACCATTTTTGAAGGTCGTAACACTGTATGGAGTGCTGGTAATCCACAACATCATTACATGATGCACCTGGAAGACATGCCTATTGATTCAAAACCCATAGTCAAATGGCCTTTTTGTAAAGATCCCATCATGTTGTTTTTTTTTTCTTAATCAGATCATTTTTTATTGAAAAAGTTTTTAACATATTGAAAACCTAGAACAAGTAACATAGAAAGAAAAAAAGACTACATAATACAGAGTTGGTGCAGACTTAACAATACTGTATATAGGACCAGTGAGGACTAAGCAAAGCAGGTAAGCATAGCCGACCTGAAAACATCCAACAAACTCATTTAGGAAGTCATGGCAGAGAACACAGTGTAAATTACAGGGCTAGAAAGACAAAGGGGGACCTAATGGGGCATTCCAACCATAGCGACATCTGATGAAGGTCTACGTTGAAGCCATCTTTCCTAAATCAAATGATATTTAGCTTCCATTCCTCTATGCTGATAAGTTAGCCTTTCAAAGGAAATTATACGATCCAACTTAACACACCAGTCTCCTAGTGCAGGCAGGGAGGCGGAAACCATTTTAAAACTAAGGTACGTCTAGAAGCAAATAGCAACTAGTTAAAAAATACCAGTTAAAACCACCGCTGTGGAGGTGAAGGGGTCCGTATCCAGAAACTCGGCTACTCCGAGAACACAAGTTAACGGTGTAGCAGGAATGGAAGTAGCAAACACCAACTTAATGACCCAAAGGACTACCTTCCAATAGCTTACCAGATTAGGACACCACTACAGCAAATGGATCAGAGAGCCCAGTGCCAGGCCACATTTAGGGCACTTGTCATCCTCCCGAATACCAATCTTATGGAGGAATTCAGGGTTATGATACACCCCGTCGAGTATAAAAAGTTGAGTTAGACGGTGTGAGGCACATACGGAGACCCTACAAACAGCTGTCAGAGCTGCATCCCACTCCTCATCCAACAATTGTCCAAGATCCGAAGCCCATCCCTGCCTGCACAAAAGAGGATGCTTAAATAGAAAACGAGATAACAAAAGAGCATAAGAGTATGAAATGACTCCTTCAGTAATAGTCACTTTATAGACCACATACATTTAGCAAGTTTAAATGTCGGCACCACCTTGGTGAGCAAAAAGATGAGAAAGAAAACGGCTGTATAAAAAAATGGATCTATAAAAGAAATCTCTAAAATTCAGTCCACATAAAGCAGTGGATGTGGGATTGAGGTTTACAAGAAAACCACTAAATACCAATCTATAGGGGCCATCTCCTGAACGGTTACTACCTTGGCAGACAGTCCGATAGAACCCAATGTGAAGCTACTGTGCAGGCTTGTTCAGCACACTAAATGTCTGCTTTTGGACTGTAAACAGGCACTGGAAGCCATAGACACGATTGTGAGGTAAGTATCCATCTGGGGAGGATGCGCTAGTTGAGCACATTGGGGTGGTGGGGGTTGCAAGAAGGACAGGTGCACTTAGTTTGACACAAATGGTACACGTCAGGCAAACTTGAAACCTAAGCCGTGAACACGTATAGGGGACAGCTGCACAATTCTTCAGTTTTTACACAGGCACTGTCATATTGAACCAGTTTACCCCAATGTCTTTTGTTGATGGTTTTGGAACCTGCTTTACATACCATTTGAAATGCAAGCGTGGTATTCCCAAACACACCGACCACAGATTCTTTGATGTCGCTGACAATAGACAAAGTCTGATGAAGTGTTAGTCTGAAAGCATTTCTTACAATCTGAGTCAAACCAGACTGGTAATTTTGAAGATGAATACTGATCTAAAAAGCAAAGTGAGAGGAAGTTACACAGCACAGGCTTTAGGAAGCAGCCCCCCTTCCCCTCTGAACATGTAGCTCTGTGTGCTGTGGCTGCAGTGAAATACAGAGAATTTAGATTAAGGTAAATTGTGTGGAATGTTTGACTTCAACACAGCTGCAGTTTTGTCATAGAGCACGAACTGTGCACTCAAGGGTTGTCGCCTATTACCTGGAATTGTTCTTTGACAAATAGCTGTTGGTACTGACAATTGAATACATGAAGAACAGTTTGTATAGAGAGCAAAGGTGTCAGAAAAGAATAAATATGCATTGAACAATAAATTATATATGAAGGCATCCGTAAAGGGACTGCAAGGAGAATCAGTAAAACAGCACTAAGTATCAGAGACAAGAATCTGAAAAATAGTACTAGGATTGAAGGATACTACTAGGATTGATCACTTGCTAAAGGCTATGTGTGTGCTGCAGTTGTGGATGTTCTGCCTTAAAAAATCGACAGTCCTATTCTCCCATGTACATTAGTGCTGTTTCAAAGCCTGTGAGGAATAGGAGTTTAATTATTGTCTGCGGATCCAGTTCACTGCCTTCGTCAGCATGAATTATATTTTTCAAAAGCTAATTGTCACCATTTTTCCTAATAGGATTAGCTTTTATGTGGGGTAGTTACCTATAAAGGTTTATGAGGCTGGTTTTGTGAGCTAAAGTGAAAAGGATCTGTCACTTCCTTGTAGAGTCAAAGCTTTTCCTCTACTTCCACCTCCCACACAATTCTAGTGGTCCACCATTATGGTTGGCTACCTCATTGGCTAATAGGCATGTGCATGAGTCAGGTTTGGGTTGGCAAATTTTGACATTACCAGGAAGTGCCGGAGCTATGCCCAATCAGAATGCCCAGGGTCTTCAAGCATAGTGTCGGGGACTGCAAACTGTTGCGGGTATATGCCGACACCTCCTAGGTGCCTATACTTTATACTTCTTTATCTGTCGCATTTCTCCTACTCTGTCCACCTCTGTTCAAGGAAACCTATCCCACCTTAAAGTGACATTAAAGTCAAAGGCCCCCCACCCCACAATGCTAATGTAAGGACTTACCTTAAATTATGTTTCTTAATCCGATCATCTTCTTTATTGTCCTTTTCAGCTGTCCCTCCAGCGCTGGTGCGGGTTTCCGATCCAGCGCTGACTCCTCTGCCTTCCTCTTCTCTCATGTCCCACGGTATCTGTGCGGGTGCACGCTGCTCCATAGACTTACCTTGTGTCTCTCCTCGTCTCCCGGCCCAACATCTGAACTGCACATACGCCCGCACCAAGATGCTTTGCGGCCGCCCGAGACTCTTCAGATGTTCGGACGGGAGCGCGCGGCGAAGACACAGGTAAGTTTAAACCTGTTTGAAAAGGGTTTTTTTCCAAAGTTTTTGCATATATCTACTTCTTGCTAGCATTAGATATATGCACAAAAACGTGAGGGTTTAATAACCCTTTAACCAGTTGACATCCGCGGTGTTAAACCCCCTTCCCATCCAGGCCATTTTTCAGTATTCAGCGCTGCGGTACTTTAACTGACATTTATTCCGTCATGCAGCGCTGTACTGAAATGAATTTAGTGCCCGCTAGGGTGCGCGCGCGAGCAGAAAAAAAATTGCCGTCTGGAGACGGCAACCCGCAGATGCAGCAGTGCCGTCCGTCCGTTTTTTTACTACGGGCGGACGGCAAGAGGTTAATTTAATAACTGTACTTCTCCATCAGCTCATCCCTCGCAATTAATACCTTTTTTGTATCACTTTCCTCTCCTAATAGATTGTAAGCTCTGACAAGTAGAACTCTCCTGTATTAAATTTTACTGTAACTTTACCCTCACCCTTTATTTTGTAAATGGCTGTGCAGACTGTTGGTGCTATATAAATCCTGTATAATAATGAGTTACGGTGGCCATACACTGTGCAAATTTCGGACGGTTCTTGAGGAATTGGACGAAATTTGCACAGTGGGTACCGCTGTCAGCACCCTTTTTCGACCAGCATCCCTCAATCAGCTAATTGAAGGAGCCGGTTAGAAAATCTTCGTAGAAACAGAGGCGGCGGCCAATGAGCTGCCTGCCCTAATCGGGTATTCTGACAGTGGCCATCAGCTGCTTTCAGAATACCAAAGAAACTGTGGGGATCCCCAGCGGAGATGGAGGAATCTGCTCTATTTTTTTTTTTGTTAAGCCCGTGGGTTGAACGAAAAAAATAGAGCAGTGTATAGCCAGCTTTATGTTAAAACGGTTAAATAATGTGCAGTAACCCAGAGCATATGCTTCAATGAACTGGCTGCAGTGAACTGCAATCTTATTCTTTTCTGAGTCACTGCACTTTACACGTTATCATCATGTTATCAACAGCTTTGAATAATCTTGTACATGTTCTGTTCATGTTTCAGGTTTAGGATTATTACCCATAGTGCAGTTTTGTCTGTCATTTTTCTCAAAAACACCCCCAATTTTGGCTTTCTATCTCATTTCAGATAGTTGAAATCTTGCTGCAGTATACTGACAAAGCATTGAGGAAATGTCCGGAGCAAGGCAAAATCCAGGTCATGGAACAGCATTTCCAGGTACGGAAGTTGGGTGACTGAGGGCATTCTTACTCTGACAGCACGGAAATATTAGGTTTAAAACTACTTTATAAAACTGGACCTATAATTAAAGCTGAACTTCAGGCAGATGTAGAAACTCATTATTAAATCCAGCTGTGGATTTATAAAAAAATAATTCTATCCCGATTGAACCCTCACAATTTATTGCTGTAATGCAACCAAGGTGCATATACGGTAATAAATCTGATCTTCTTTATACAGCAAAAAATATGATCTTCTTTTACTATTTATAACCGGTAAGTGCTGCAGCAATGGTTTGAATTGCCTGTGCTGCAGAAATCTGGAGAACTGGATTGTGTCTTTCTTAAACAAAGCAGTGCTGTGGCTCTCCTGTGGTCCAACACCCACTCCACACCTGAACAGTCAACAATGCTCTTACTACTTGAGCAGAGCTGTTGATTAGGGCACTTTTTGTGGGGCCAAGTCGGGAGCTGGGTAGCCTGCTTTAGATTAGAGAGCCCAGTCTGACTCTCCACATTGCTGCAGCATAGGGTAAAATAAAGTGACACTAAACTCAAGAGTTAATTCTTAATAATGCATTCAAGTACCTTAACTATTAACAATACTGTACTTTATTTGTGTATCACTCGGCTGTAGATCCTCAAATCATCTCTGAATTGATGCTGACACTGTCCTTCCTTCTGGAGGGTGGCTACTTTTGTTCCCAATGGTCCCTGTGGGTGTTGTAAAGTAGCCACTGCCCCAAGCTCATTCCCGTGATGGACTACAATTTCATGTTTAGTTTACTCATTTGTATTGAGATTGTAGTCTATGACGGGAGTGAGCTTGGAGCAGTAGCTACTTTACAACACACACAGGGACCATGGGGAACAAAAGTGGCCCCCACCAGAACGAAGGACAGTGTTGGCACCGATTTAGAGATGATTTGAGGATCTACAGCCGAGTGATACACAAATAAGATACATTTTTGTTAATAGTTATGGTACTTGAAAGCATTTTTAAGGTTTAACCCGAGTTTAGTCTCACTTTAACCCTTGCTGTAGCATTTTCCAGCTAAATAAAGCATAACAGAAAATCAGATTTATTACTGTATGAGAAACTTTGAGATTAGCTGGGCTTTAAATTTGTTTTCACATACTGCTGTTGACCAACTGAACCTATGGTGGGTAATTCACGTGACATTGCTTACTGACTGCAAATGCCTGGTATTGTCCAGGGAGATAATGCCCTTCCATCAAAAACTGATTTACATATCAGTAGCTCGATGATATGGACAGATACCATATCTAAGCTGTGAGATTGAGGCTACCATCTGGATGAGGACAGTTACATGGCTAACACTGTTAATCAATTATCCAGGCATTAAATGGCAGGTTTGAAGTGTTTTACAAGTGAAACAACCTATTATTTTGGCTATATTGTATAACATTATGATTCTGGCAGCCGATAGCTCTGTGCTTTTTGCATTAGACTTAAAAATAATGAACTGTACAACTAATGTAATTATATATGTGCATTTTATTGACTCTATTGCGAATAGATGCAAAAAATGAACATTTTGACGCATGTTTTCTTTTCAGGTCAAACGTACAATCATGGCCAAAAATAGTGGCGCCCCTGCATTCCTGTCAGATAATGCACCACTTTGCGCAGAAAATTGTTGCAATTACAAATGTTTAGGCATTCTAATGTTTATTTCTTTTGTTTGTATTGGTATGACACAAAATTAACAGCTTTTTGACTAAACAAAATGAAAGCTTTTTGGTAAAGCCCATCATTCTACTGTTTTCAGAAAAAGAAATGAGGCCGTTAAAGAAAGTGTGCATGGCATTATGAAATCTGAAGACTACCAAATAATTCTGGGGTGCTATGTAGGGCCCAGTGTCAGAAAGTTGGGTCTCCATCAGAGGTCATAGGTCTTACAGCAGGACAATGACCGAAGGCACACATCAAAAAGGACCCAGAAATTGTTTCAAAGCGCTGGAGAATACTAGACTGGCCAGCAATGATTCCAGATCTGAATCCCATAGAGCACCTGTGGAGAGATCTCAAAACAGCAGTTGGGAAAAGGAACCCTTCCAATCTGAGAGACCTGGAGCAGTTGGCAAAAGAAGAGTGGTCCAAAATTCCTGTAGAGAGGTGTGAGAAACTCATTGATGGTTACAGGAAGCAAATGATTTCAGTATTTTTTTTCCAAGGGCTGTGCTACCAAATATTAATTGAGGGTGCCAATAGTTTTGTCCAGTCCATTTTTGGAGTTTTGCGTGGAATGTGTCAAATTTGACTTTTTTTTTCTCCACTTTTTTGTGTCTTACCAATGCAAATAAAAGAAATAAACATGAGAATGCCTAAACATATGTAATTGCAACAATTCTCTGCACGAACTGGTGCATTATCTGACAAATGCAGGGGTGCCAATATTTTTTATAGAAGATTAGTATTTCCTGTGCTCCACAGCTCAATCTAGTGGCCATAATGCAGTATTTTATTACATACACAGATTTGACCTAAAATAAAATATTTTTTAAGAATGATAGTTTTTGTGTCAATTCACACAGGACGAATGTTGAGAAAAATTTGCAGTGCAAATGGCTGTGCGATCTGTATCCACATGGACAGCGGGCAACATTAAACTGTGATCTGTGTTCCCTGACACTTATTTTAGAGTAGTTTTAAACTCTCAAACCTTTTTTTTCCATAATGAATCCAGATCAAACAAATATACATTGCCCAGCAAAGTATTTCTTTGAAATTTTTCAAAGTGAGTCGTGCCCCTTGATAGAAACATTTTCATGTAAAAATTGATAAAGATGAGCACAGTTTTATTTGCATGGTCTGTATATGTACCCTTTCTGTTTGTTAACTCTGTACAGTATATATTGTTTAGTCCAACTATGCCAAACATGAGATGTCTGGCACTGGTTTTGTGTGTTAAGTTTTTTTAATGGTGTTTCAGTAACTAAACTGCACCTCTCTTTGTTTATGTCCACTTCCTATAATACCCTGCACAGCAGCACTCAGTGGGAGACAAATGGCCAGCCATAAGAGCTAGTCATGCACTATTGCATTACATACTACTGTCTGTCTGACCTCATTGTTCTGCTGCTTCTTCACTATCCAGTCACAGACAGGGGCAGCCTCTAGCCCAGGTGTATTGCTCACCTACAGTACAGCTGGCAGGACCTGCTTGTGCTAATAAGCATGGGTGTTTGGATTAGAAATCAAGAAGGATCTTAAATAGAGTCCGGAAGAAGTCAAAACCTTATCTACAGAGAGCTTCCGTACAGCCCGTATGTCAAGTTCACTTCATAGGAGGATTGCTAATTACTGTTGGCAGTAAGTCATGAAATCAGACAGTATGTTCTCTTTGTTAACTAAGGTATGAACTTGGCAATACCAACTTATTTCAGGCATCTTCAGGTTTCAGACATCTTAAAGTCTTTCATATCTGTATGTGAATGTAATTAGACATTTTCTTGGATAGAAGTTATGATTACCTGCCACAAAAAGACCAAGTACTCTAAAACAAAACAAAAAACACATAAATAATAGGTGGAAGTTGGACGGCTAAACTACTCAGTGGCTTCATTTTTATTTCTAATGGAATTCCTGACTTTTTTTGCCAAAGTGGAAAACCTATTGAAATGTTATCTTAAGAATATTATTTATTGATAATAGTATTTTTTTTTCAGGATACAGTGCCAGTCTTAGTTGATTATTGCCTGCTTCTGCAACGCACGTAAGTTGTTTCTGATTCACTTAGTGTTCAATTAATATTTTGGTAACACTGTTCTCTACTGTTGATTGGGGATAATATATTTTTTTGTAGAGAATCTTGATGAATTTTAATTTTAAAGTATATTTTCCTTGTAGTAGCTTTAAAGCTGTACTCCGGGCACAATTATTTTCATTTAGGTTTATTCTTTATTTATCCCAACAAAGAGCAATTTCTAAGCTCCTAATGTCTGTGTAACAAGTGGGAAAATACCTTTAAAAAAGTGGCTGTGACATCACAGGGAATCCATACCTAGGGATGTGTGGGTTGGTTCTTCCTGCTACCTTCTAGTGACATGTGCCTGCTGGGAAACTGCATCTCCCATAATTCCTACCCTTGCATTGATTATGTAGGAAGACTTTATGGGTGCAGAGTGCAAGGCACACCTATTTATTACAGGTATTTATATAACGCTGACAATTTACGTAGCCCTTTACGTACAGAACATTCACATCAGTCCCTGCCATCAAGGAGCTTACAATCTAGGGTCCCTATCTTATATGTATACACACAGAGCCAAATTAGACAGGAGCCATTTAACCTACCAGCATGTCTTCAGAGTGTGAGAGCAAACCAGAGTTCCTGGAGGAAACCCACACAAACACAGGGAGAACATGCAAACTCCTTGCAGATAGTGCCTGGATCCTGCAAGACAGAAGTGCTAACCACTAAGCCACTGTGCTGCCCACATTTATGGATGGATTGCTGGATGCTTCTTGAACTGGAAGGTAAAAAAGAGCAAAACTTAGGTAAGATTAAGCATGTTCTGTGTTTTTGGCTAACAATTGTTCTGCCTGGAGTTCCACTTTAAACCAGACCCACTTTCTGCTCTAAAGTTAGTTCTTTTATCAATTAGGAAAGTATTAGGAAGAGGTGATGGTATGAAAAATGTCCATATTCTTTGTAGCTGCAATAACCAGATACCACACCACTTCCAATCCAGGTCTTGTGACCAGAAGCCTTGGCAGCAGTACACTGGACTGTGCTTAGGGTCACCATACACATTACAATCTTACAATCTACAAACATTTGGTGGAAATGAGTAGGAAACGGAGGCTCCAGAGTCAGCTATTAATGCTTTGAATATGGGCTCAGCTTTATGTGAGCACGTCCCAGCATTTTGGTGTCGGAGAACCTCAACAACTGTTATTGCTCCGTATTTATCTCATCATCCACAGGGTAAAAGAGTGTGGCCTATTCCAGATTGTGAAAGATTCAAGTTAAATTAGCCACATATGTTACCGCAGACTATTATGATTTAAGGTAAAGTCCGCTTTAAAAAAAAATAATAAATGAGCCCTTCTTCATAAAAGAAGAAATGTGCATTATTTTTTTTTGCAAAGGCACCAGTAAAGCATTTTAACTGTGATCAGTGGATTACATATGCAGTTCTCTCTGGATCTTGCAGACTCTTCCTCCTATCCATGTCTGTACATGTCATTCAGTGCCATGGATGGGTGAAAAAATGAATGCACTGTAAATGCAGTGATGTCACCGCATTTGTGTCCCATTTAGACCTACTAGTCCCTCTGCCACTGTGGCTCATGGTACTTGTAGTTTCAAAGGATCAAAGTTGTCAAAGGATCTGTGAGTGGATGACGTGGTTGTGTGGACAGAGCCACTCACAATCGCGCCATCTTAAAAAATCAACACAGGCCTACGGTGAGAAGAACCCTGCGATTCAGGTGAGTGGGGTTGGGGATTTGATGTGACTGTGTTTCATGTTATACCCTAAATATGAAACATCAAACATGGTCTGAAAGGTGTACCTAGCCTTTAAGGTAAATGGTATAAAAAACTGTAACATGTAGCCAGCTTTACAATTAACAAATGTCTATTGAAAACTTTACACCTCAACCAGTCTTCCTCATACAATTTTCTGGAGTATATTGGAACTGACAGAGGCTTACATTTCTGTACAATTCTATTTAATGTTAAAGTGACATTAAACCCTCAGATTTTTTAACATAAACCAATACTGTAATGTGTGCCTTACTGTAATCCATGGTAGTTTCCCTTCTCTTTGCTGCTCTTCCTTTTTAAATCCTCATGTCTTCTCATGCTTGGGGAGAACTTCCCATTGCAGCTCAGGGCCTCTTCCTGTAGTGCTGGCTCAGGTTACAAACCTATACACAGGCACCATATATCCATTCCTGAGACAAGGCACTCAGCTGCAAAACAGAAGTTCTGCCCAGCATGAGAACAGATACAGATTTAAAAGGAAGAGCAGCAAAGAGAATGGAAACAACCATGGATTACAGTAAGGCACACATTACGGTATTGTATTATGTTAAAAAATCTGAGGGTTTAATGTCACTTTAAGATCGTACAATCCAGTTGCAACATGTATGGCCAAGTTAAGCTCGTCAACTCTTTAAGTACGGTCCCTGTGTGTGCTCATACCCGTGATGGACTACAATCTCAATACAAGTTAGTAAACTAAACATGAGATTGTATTCTAACACAGGAGTACTCTTGGAGCAGTGGCTACTTTACAACACACACAGACAAAGTAGCCACCCTCCAGAAGGAAGGACAGTGTCCGCACCAGTTCAGAGATGATTTGAGGATCTACAGCCGAGTGATACACAAATAAGATATTTTATAAACTTTTTAATTTATTTTTATTCATTTTTTATTAAATATTTTTATTTTTTACTTTTAGGGGCTTCGGGGAAATATAAGGGGGCTAAACAGACCCCTGATATTTCCCTTTTAAAATAGAAAAAGAGATTGAGAACACAAAGTCCTCAATCTCTTTTTCTGTGTCCCCTGTTATCAATGAACAGGAATCCTCTATGAGTCTTCCTGTTCATTGATAACATGAGTACATTGTTTGTTTACTATAACTACAATTATGAATGAATAGGGGTGATGTAGATCACTCCCATTCATTCATAATTGAGGATACAGTACACATACCATGTCCTCAATTATGTACACACACTCAGCGATCACTGATTGCTGAGTGTGTGTACCTTGCTCTTCTCTCTGACACGCTGTCACAGGAGGCTAATCGAGCGGTGTAGGGAGAAAAGCTCAGCCTCCTGTGACAGCGCTGTCTCCGCCCCTACACCGCTCTGCCGGACTGTGATAGGCGGCAGAGCGCTGTGGGAGGAGATGCCGGGCGCTCACAGCGCTCTCCACCGCAGCGCTCGGCCGGCTGTCACTTTCTCTTCTCCCCGCTGGGACATAGAGCAGCGCCCAGCGGGGAGAAAATAAATCACGGATGCGCCGATGTATCGGCAGGAAAATGGCACTTTCGGCATTATGCCAAAAGTGCCATTGTCAGCCGATATGTTTCGGCGGCCGATATATCGGTGCATCCCTACTTATAATACATAGTTAATTGTGCTCATGTTGCCTCAAAGGGTCTAAAGTCCAAGATAATGTACCTGTCATTAAAATTACAGATGAATCATTAGGCCACATATCAGCAATAACACATGACATTATTTGCTCTGCATAAAAAAAATACCCCCCCCCCCCCACCCTGCAGTTTCTCTCCCTATACAGCTCTTTCATTGTAGAAGAGGCAGCTTTGTCATCTCACTATAAGAAATTAGAAGGTGTCTGCATTTCTGGCAGGATTATCAGGAATTTTTCAGCAATTGCAGTAATTTTTGACACAAAACATGGGGAAATGTATTGGAAAGCTGTGCTGAATATGCTCTTTTACATTGCATACACACATACAGACACTTTAAAGTGGACCTTTACAAACCTTTTACTAAAAAATCACATCAGCAGGCAGCTCTGCCTGCTGATTTTAAAATCATCATACATTCAACGGTTAAACATACTTGTTTTTCATTTACTTACAAATAGAGTTCATCTACTTCCTGGTCCAGTTCTGGCACAAATGATGTAAGTGTCAAAATGTTGCATCTTGGGAAGGTTACATCAGCAGAGCATTGCTGGGAAATCTCATCTGTAATCTCACCAGATCTCAGGGAAAGGCATTTTCCTCCCGTGAGATAATGTGTATGGTCACATGTCCTAGTCACATCTCTAGTCACATGTGCCAGAGTTTCAGGAAGTAAATGGAGAGCTAGTGATCTACCCTTAGTTAACATGACCACTGCCAGAAGACTGGGAAAGAAAAGAGAAATAATATGTGCAAAGAATACAAAGCCTGCAATTATCTAGAAGTATCTGTTTGTCCATTACTATATATTTCTAAAGGTGTGTTTGTTGTTTTAAAGTTATGGGTAAAGTTCCTCTTTCAGGTCCCCTGTGTAAAGAGCGGACTGTGTTTAAATGGCACTAAACAAAAGCCAGATTTTGTAAGCTGCATAATGCAGGCGCTTCTTAAAGAAGAACTTGAACTTGGGGCAAAAGTGTTCCGAACCCTTCCAGTTAGGCTCCCACCACACTGCAAGGGTTAACTGCTCGTTTTTGTCTAGGTGCTAAAAAAAATTGCACTTACCTGATCCTCGGAGATGACTGGCTGCTACTCCGGTCGGTCCCTGAAGTCTGTCTCCTCCTCTGCTGCAGTGATGAAATGTCATTTGGCATCCTCATATCCTTTACACTGTGTATAGAACATGATGATTCACAGGACCTTAGACTGCTGCAGCAGAGGTGGAGACTGCTCCAGGGACTGGTCTAAGAGCCAGCCATCTCCGAAGATTAGGCGAGTGTAACTTTTTTTTTTTAGCCCTCAATCAAAACGAGCAGTTAACCCTTGCAGTATGGGGGTAGCCCAACTGCAAGGGATTAGAACACTTTTTGGCTTGAAGATATTTAGTCTTCATCTTCTGTTCATCTTGGTGAAACTGACAGTCAGTATTGGGTAGTGATAGAGATGATCACACATTATCATTAGAACTGTATATGGCGATCTTTCACCCTCAAAGATGCATCACGAGTTAAAAGTTGTTCATCAGAAGGCAGTAGGATGTGTGTCCTTTGTATGAGCTCAGGGGAGTATGTTGTCTTTAGATGCATTGAAATGTCACCGCTAATGGAATAAAGATAGTGACTTGAAGGGGAATGTCACCGTTATCTGCTGGGCCATCTGAGCAATTTTTACCATATAAATGGGAAAGGTTGTCTCCAGAGCAATGAGTAGGAATGACAGCTCTGTAGTCAGAAGTCCAATGAACCCATCACCTTGCAGAAGAAGCTGTTTCTGATCAGCAGTTTCAGTGGTCGGCTTTTACTAGGCACTTGTGTATCAAACGACTCAAAGATCCGTTTTTATGTGTATCGTGGTTTTATTCTAAGCATGATGGCTCACACCTTCTGACAGCTTGTCACGTCTAGCTTCATAAAAATGTCATCACCATAAACCAAAAAAAAAAAAGAACATCCTATTATTGAGTATCTCAGTTGCTTGCCAGCAAATATTTTATCACCTGCTAGAGGTAGAGAGGTTTTTCACCTTTAGATTGCCTATTACTATATTTTATGTGTCTTTTACATTTCAATGCCCTGTGATTGTAGCTTTCTAATTTTTAGGTGGGTTTTAAGGAAATTTGTAGGCTCGCCTTCTGCGGTGTTTAATATTTTATCTGGAGCAATTTTATTCTGAGAAAAGAAAATGTGGACCTGACAAGACCACAACATTTTTCACGTTTTCAGAAAAGTCTAAGTAGGAATATCCAGTAACCTAAAGTGCAGAAAACCTATTTAATAGAAGATACAGATTGATAATCAAAAACTTGCCAATAAACCTAGTATTGATGGCAACATTTTACTAGGTTCCTATGGACCTTGTGTGTGCTGGTAATCTGTGGGTTTCTCCACAAACGGGCACAGCAAGTCAAGCCACTCTCCTTTTCCAAACTGCTTTTCCTCCCCTTATTCCAAGCTATTATATGGAAAGCTGCTGGAGACTTTCCTGTCTCTTGTGTTCTTGTACTGGACAGGAAGTTCAGGGAAGCTGAGCTGAGAGAGCTGTAGCCAGCTATCTGGAAAGATGATGTCTGTAAGAGCTTGGGGAAAATCTAAAATAAATACTTTGCTGTGCAATGTGTATTTGTTTGAAAAAAATAAGTTGAGAGTTTACTTCTTTAACATGTTGTTGATCATTTGGTAGATTTTTCTGTTAGGTCATGCTAACTGTTTGTCTTATCTGTGCAGGGATATCCTCTTTAGTCAGATGTATGACAAGCTCTGTGAGAACTGTGTAGCTAAAGGAGTATTCTTGGAGTGTTTGGAGCCTTATCTTCTCCGGGACCAGCTGCCTGGTTTCACAACTCACGTTATGAAGGATCTGCTGCTCCATTTTCAGGATCGGGGCATGATGGAAAGTTTGGAGGCCTGCATAGTGCACATGGATATTACTAGCCTTGACATTCAGCAGGTACTTCTGTCCCTTTTACTGACCATCTGATTGTATTTGACTTAATTTCTCAGTGATTTAATTCACTCTTGCCCACTATGTATATGAAAATATTGTTCTATTTTTACCTTATGTGTTTTAATATTCCAGTTTCAGTAAGCAAATCTAATGCTGTCCTGTGTAGTATGGACTGGGGACCGGTTAGCTTAGCATGGTTCAGCTGTAGCACTTGAAGACTGAGAATACTACTCATTGTCAGATCAGGATTCCAAGACTGAATGCCACTGCTAATCAACATTGGAGTAAATAAAGACCATTCCCTTATTAAAAGTAGACAAAAACTCTTTAAAATGTAAATATGGTGAGATCCATGATAATAAACTGCCAGGTTTTATATCTGCCACCACCTCAGAACCCCAAAGGAGCACCTTATTTCCGCAAACAGCTAATTGAACTAGAAAGTTGGCTCCTCCAGCTACTCCATTCTGGCCATTAAATATAGTGGCCCCACGGACTAATAGCAAGGCATGGGAGGTGAAAGGCCAAAGTACCAACTTCCTTGTTGAAATATCAATTTCCCAGCTATTCACCTACCAGATATATTGGCATTACTGCTACTATAGGCTTTCTTTAGGTAGTTACACTACTATGCTCTTTATTGGTTTGTTTGGTTTTTTTTCACCCCTGTTGCTCTGTTTGCATGTCTGTTTTTTATTGTGCCATACCAAACCTTTCTACATTTATGTGTAACAGTTTTCTTATTTGGTATGTGCTCGCTCAAATTCATGTGGTTTTTGCTTGGATATATTTAGCTCCTAATTTGGGGTCATTTCTTATATAAATGTCTTTAGATGTGGTATAGTGATGGTGCACAAAAAAGTTCAATCTTGCCTTCCTTTGTTTCGAGAAACCAAGAACCACTTTGCCATTATTTTCTTTATAATTTCCTTCATGGAAATGGTTTTACTTTTTTTTTTCTAGATTGTCCAAATGTGCTGGGAACATAGGCTGTATGATGCAATGATCTATGTGTACAACAGTGGGACAAATGATTTCATAAGCCCCTTGGAGGTAAGATTTAAATTCTCAATGGTATTAATAGGTTTTGAAAAAAAACAAAAACTCATCTTAGAGATAACCTATGTACTATGTGTTTGTTATCCTTTTAGAAATTGTTCAAGTCTATTTCTGCACCAATCGGCTCTGGCAAATCTTTGACAGGTATGTTGTGGAGAGTACTAATCTAAAAGGTGCTGTATTTTCCTAAATATCAGAATTTTATTTTACATTTTTACCTTTTTCTTTTCTAAAAAATGTTTGATCTAAATTGTGCCAGCACTTCTACCACATTGACTGTGCAGTGGTTGGATATGCCTTTATTATACCCACTTGCAATGTTGTAATCAACAAAATATGCAGGCCTAACATTGCTTTATGTGTGCAAGAGTCTCAGACAATATCCTGCCAAACATGGAACTCAGATGTAGATTGTGCCTGTGGTTTGACTTAAAAGATTGACTTCTCAGTGTAGTGATCAAATATATAGCGGGAAGTATAAATATATAAATACCCAAATATATGTATTTATATTTATGTGCGTTGTGAAAATCCAGGGAACCTCAGCTCTTTTCCAGAGAGTAGCGTTTAATCCAACAAAAGCAGATGAACAGAAACAGTCCAACAGAGTAATACAGAGTAATAATAAAATAAAGTAAAATAATGAAGATTTCCAGTGAGTACCCTTCTCTATATCATCTCTCTTTCCCTCTCTCTTCCTCTCCTTTTTTCTCACCCCCACCCAATTTCAGTCTCTCCTTGATATATCCATTTTCCTCATTCACTAAAATGTGGAAGAAGCTCATTGGTTGACCAGAGAAACACTTTTGATCTTATTGTTACCAAACAGATCCTTGATTCGTGTAACAATTGCATCTCCTTAAATACAAGACTCGGCTGGTGCCACCAAACACCAAATGGAGCATTATGCAAAGCTCCATTAGATCCTGTGGTCCAGACCTTGGTGCCATCCACTAGAGTGCATCTGCTTTCCATCACTGCTGTCTATTTAGCACTTTTAATGAGACCACAGGGCCACGTAAGCTTGTGAGATTGAACTTATTGTACAATTGTTTTAGAGGATTTCATGCTATGCATCTCACTGCTGGTACTTGCATTCATCCTGCTCTCTCAACTTGTACCACACTACCAGTACCATGTTCTGTTGTGCACTAATCCATTTGCTTAGTATTACCTATCCACATATCAGAATTAGTATTTTCTCTGGCCAAAGTATTTTTTTATGCTGACTGTGGTGGAACAGTAAGTATTCACAGAATCACTAAAAAAGCTTTAGAATTTGAGGATTTGAGGAGGAAAAAGGGGGCCACAGCTGTCATGGTTTGTTAAAGAGACCCTGTCGTCATTAATTTCAACTAAAATCTTCCCAAAACGTTATATTTGCATGCTAGCCCATCCTTTATGATTGCCCCAAGTGTTATACTAGTTGCAATTTGCAATGTAAGACTCTCGCACTGCTTACCCTAACTCTCTCTCTCTCTCTGCCCGAGCACTGATTTACAGGGGATTATAGAAAGCTGATATGGAGTGAGATTTCAATTACTATTAGTAATATTTAAATGGTCCAGAAACGCATCAACAGGCCAAGAAACATAACTTTCTCATTCTACCAATGAACCACAAGGCTATGACATAATAGTCAATGCTTTACAAAGCACATGTTTTGTCACTAAAGCACCATATCATCTAATGTCCCTACCCCTCTTATATATTTTCAATTGTAACCACCTTTGCTGTGGCAAGTTTTAGTTTGAAGCTAGCTACCCATCTTGGCAATAGATTTCAGCACTAGCATTGTGTAGATAGGGATCAGAGGCTCCTGCCTGATATTATTGGTTTCTGCCATTGCTGAACCGTCCTTTGAGAATGCTAGTTTGCTCTCTGTCATTCTGATACTTTGATGTTAATACTGTTGCTGATCCAGGCAAGTATAAAGATTAGTAGTTTTGACACTTTTCTGACTCATTTGTTCCAGAACTATGATAGAAGCATACTGAAGTCAGAACAGCCAGGCATCCTTTTCAGAAGAAGGCCTGCAATGGCAGTCCCCGTAATACCCTCATGACAGAGTCCTTTTAATGTAGGGATAATTTGCAGAAGATGGGGTTATTAAGTGTAAATGGATTCGTTTAGGCAGGGCTTCTTAAAGTGGGGGTCGCGACCCCATATGGGGTCGTGCAAGTGAATGGGGGGGG